TTCCTTGTACCGTTTATTTCATTATTATTCGTATATGTAGTATCTTTTCCACTACACGTGAAACGCACGAAAAACATCGGTCACCTAGGTGTTTTGCAGTACATTTCACCTCGGATTTGGATCATTTCTTACTCACAATTTTCACCCTCATTTCAAAATGCTATCAATTTGCTACCAAAAAATCGCCTTGCTGCGTAATATAACCTTCAGCCCAATTGATTATCACTTTGAAGATCCTGGACCATTGTGCCTAGCCTCGAACCCGTGAAATACTTCAACACTTCAAGGTTATAAGCATCAACGAGCATTTTGTGTGTGTTTACAGGTTTATTAAAAGACCTAGCAAGTACCTTCTATTATGGTCCCAAGTGCGGTTTCTTGGCCACGTGATTAGTCCGGAAGGAATGCATGCGGACCCCGAGAAAATAAACCATATTTTGACCTGGTTGACGCCGAACAGTATCGAAGAGGTTTGAAGTTTTCTGGGTTTAGTCCCGTATTATCCCGTTTCGGCCTTGACTTCGCAAAAATAGAGGCGCCATTTGACTGAAAAACGGCAAAAATTTAATTGGTCCGAGGAATGCGAGATGGCGTTTCAGGCACAAAAGACGGCCCTAACAGTAGCGCCCGTCCTAGACAGTGCGGACTTGTCAGAAACTGCAGAACCCTTCATCGTGGATACTGATGCTAGCGACGTGGGAACTGGAGAGATTCTGTCACAAAAAACAAGGCTGCGCAGACCGAGTGTTTGCTTATGCCGGTAGGTGTTAAAATAAACACGGAAAGAATTATTGCACCACAAGAAAGGAGATTCTGCATCTAGTTTCCCTTCTCTCTTAATTTCGCCATTACCTTCTCGGGAAGGAATATATGGTGCGAACAGACCACCAGGCACTCATTTGGTTGCAGAACTTCAAGGACGCAACGGACCAGGTGGCACTAGGACAGGAAAGGCTACAAGAGTACAATTTTCAGTGTATGCATCGCCCAGCAATTCGTCATCGAAACGAAGGCGTCCTTTTCCGAAGACCCTGCCGAGTGAACGGCGAGTGCCTATCATGCACATGAGCTTTCATAGCGGCTATTTCACTGCAAGCGGCACGTGCTTCATCATGGTAAAGGCACCAGGCGGAGGATGCAGAACTCAAACTTGTGCAGCAATGATTGTCCGAGTCCGGGTAAAGGCCAACGCTAGAAGGAATGGCAGGGAACAGCTGAGAAAAAATTGACGCCTGAAGCAAATGGAAACTCCTCCCTGAACTAGATGGAATCATGTATTTCCAATATGGGCAAACGAATATTAAAGAATCTTAGTCCCTCAGGTACACTAAGTACTCGCCGAAATACACCGAGAGCTCAGGCATGTGGGATAGAAAAAAATGCTTGCGGCCGTACGACAAGCATTCTGGTGGCCCCATCAGGTACGAGTCATGGTAAACTTCTGCGGCTCTAAACAGTTGCGTTTACAGATGAAACCGCCAAGGACGTCCAGCAAAGCACCAATGACAACAGTACAGACCGAACAACCGTATGAGCGACTGGTAATTGACATAATCGGAATCCTACAGGAAACGGCTAAAGGAAATCGTTACATATTGGTTGTGGTCTATTACTTACCGAAATGTTTCGAACCGGAATCGATATCGCGGACAGATTCGTTCATGATCGCGCAGACCATCCTCAACATGTGAGTATCTGAAGTAGTCAGGAAAGTATTGAGTTTAGGAATACGAGAATCCGGACTGTACTGCTCAGAACTGAATTGGCTCCAACCCGAACTGCGGAAACCAATGAAATACACGAGGAATTGATAGCAGCAAATGCTTATCTTTATTGATGGAATTAAATCAGGTTTTATGGAATGTAATAGTCCATATCATTGGTTGAACAAGCATCCTCTAATCACGGAACCGTTTGCACCGACATATCATATGTGCCAACTCGGATACCATGTTCACCCGGTCTACCATTGGTCGAGCTTCCTGAACAGTGATTGGATGACATGAAACAGTACCTAGTCGTGCATGGACTGCAGTCACGGAAGTCTGGATCACCACAACTCTCTTCCTCCAAGAGTGCCCGTCTATCTGGCTCGCCTGACGGCTAGACCTGCGGACTGCAATCGTTGGCTCCGCCTGTTCCTGGCGGTGTCCTTGTGTTTCGATTGATTGTTTCTGCGCATCTGGTTGATGCGGCTCCGTCGGAGTAGTTGTCTGTTACTCGGTATCCGATTGTGTATGAAACAAGAGACAGTTAGTAACGCTACTGTTCAACGTTTTATATGTACTCGTACGTAAGCGATGGCCAAGACCACACAAATGGGGTTCACAAAGTTTCTTGCCACCACACGCTTCGCAGTGTGGCGCCCACCAATACAAAACCGTTCTAGACAGCCAGGAAGCATAACAAAACCATGCAATCCTTCTTCCAGCATCATCTAATCCGCAAACATACATAATGTATGACAATCGCAGCAATCGAAGGACGGTGCTCAGGTGCCTCAGATTGCAGTCGCTCCGATTGTCGGTAACGGTATGTCGAACAGAGCACCAGGGTACTATTCGGCTGTGTTAGTCAAGTAGCCTTTTGAACGACTGTTTACTTTTAGCCTGGACTACTGTCGTTGGCAGTGACTTCCAAGGGCGACAAACACGCACCGAGAAACAGTGTTCCTGGGATCTCAATCTGGGACGCTGCTACTCCAGTTTCATGGAGTGGCCGCGCAGTGCTGACGGAGGGGGCATTCTGAACAGATGCCTGTTGGGGTGCCCCTGATCGCTGACTGTGTCCCTCAGGAGGGTAAGGTCGCCCCTTACCCTCCTATATTGCACGCTGTACAAGTTGAACGAACGGAGTCTATCCGAGTAGGGTGTGCGTGACCATCGCTGTACTCGTTTGGTAGCTTTCCGCTGTGCTCACTCAATGGCGTTGACATCCCTCCTAAGCAGCGGTGGGTCCGCCTAGATGTTGATATCCAGGTGTGGCCGAATGAGCGTAGCAAAAATCTTGGGGAAAGACTCTGGTGTGAATTTCCCGAGCAGTCGGCTTAGTTGGTTGAGTTTGAACATTGCCCTCCGGGTCAGTGTGTTGCAGTTAGTTTTCTGGGATAGATCATCGGTAATGACTGTGCCCAAGTCCCTTTCGTGCCTGATCCCCTGCAATGTTCTATCTCCGAGCAAGTAGTCCTTTGAACAATGCCCTGCAATCTTCGTAAGCTTGCATTTGGCAGAGTGTAACGGCAATCCATTTGCGACCGACCAGATAAAAAGCTTGTCTAGGTCCTCTTGCAGGGTGCACTTATCTAACGGGCTTCGAATCTCCCGGCATACATCAGTAGGTCTGATTGTATGCCGACGGGGAGATCGTTTACAAATAATGTGAACAGTTTGGTACCTAGGATGGAGCCATGGGGTACCCCACGGGGTGCTCTAAACCTATCTGAGAGAACGCTTTTTCCCTCTAACCCGAAACGTTTGATCCCACAGATAGTCTGAGACTCAAGCTATCAGGGTTTCGGGGAATTCCAGGTTGGCTGGTCTCTGTAATAGCAGAGAGTGACGAACTCTATCGAAGGCCCTGGAAAAATTCAGCATGACTGCGTTCAGTTACACCTCCGTATCCGCAGCACATGTATACCACTCCATGGTCTCAATGTGGTTGGTTTGGCAGGATCGCTTCCCACAAAACCCGTGCTGGGCATCATGCAAACAAAGATCTTGCTCGACAAACTCACTGATTTTGTCGTCAATGGGTCCCTCCATTACCTTGAAGACCACCGGGAGCAGGGCTACCGGACGCTAGTTGTTTGCTAGGGTTCGGTTCCCTGACTTGAATATAGGAGAGACCACGCATGTCTTCCACACCAACTCTCATAGAGTGATTGAACAGACAGCTAGGGGCAAAGCTAACTGCTCGATGCACTGCTGCAGTAGCATGGGTGGTATCTCGTCAAGGTCCAGTGACTTTTTAGCTATGAAACTTGCCAGTTTTAGTCCTACCTGTGCCGGGAAAAACGACACAGGTTCCATGAACCTGCTGGGTATGGAGTCTACTGCGTGAAGACTACTTCCGTCTGTCCGACTAATAATTTCTGGGTTGAATACCGTGGAGTAGTACTCAGCCAAGGTGTTAGCTGCAGCCTGATTGTCATCCGTAAGGGATCCATCCACACGACGGATGTCTGTCTGTCTGGGTTTCGCCTGGGTCACCATGGAGATGTTCCTATAGAAATTCCTCGGGTCCGCAGTGACCCGGTTTAAGAACTGCCGCTGGTACCCGCTGGTGTCTTGCCTTCTTTGTGCGTTACATTGGTTGCGTAATTCAACATGCGCCTCGTAATCCTGGGAGCTCTGAGACCATTGGTATTGGTTCCACGCGCGTCTTTTCCGTGCCAAGTTCTTCATTGTACGGCGACGCAGTCGCTGTTTCGGTTTGAGTGGTCGAATCGGTGTCCGTGGCACAAACCTACGCATGGCCTCGGTGGGAATCCCCCTCACTTAGCTCCAATGATGTTTGACGCAAGAAGGGTTAAGGGGAACGTTGCTGACCAACATGCGTCTAGGGCCTCCTTGAAGGCGTGAACATTGGCTCAGTTGACCACTTCTGCGGGTAACCTGTTCCACATAGGTATGATTCTGTTTGCGAAGAAGTTGGCGCGTACTTTCAACCTGGTGTGAATTTTTTGAAATTTTATAGCCATGACCTCTCGTGTTTTGAGCACGATAAATCTAAACAAGTCATCCAGGTTGAGTCCCGCTAAACCTCTTAAAATTTTAAAAGTCTCTATCAGATCCCCCTTCACTCGTCTATGCTCCAATGAAACGAGATTAAGATAACCGCTGTTCATAGCTTTCTCCTTTTTCCCGGTCACCATTCGGGTAGCTTGGTGCGGCACTCTTTCTAAACATGTTACATCCCTCCTGTTTTACGGTGCCCATACCTGCACACAATATTCCATGTGTGGGCGAAAAATCGATCTATACAGTGGGACAAAACCCTCAGGCCTTCTGCATGTCACTGTGGCACTCAACCTGAACAGCTGCCCTCCAGCCTGATTGACAGCCTTGGGGCACTGATCTTTCAGATACCTGGACAGTAAACTCAGTGTCTACATGATATTTGCCAGATCGCATTTAGAATTCGGTACACTAATTTGCACTAATATGCGCCAGTGCGACAGGATAGCGATCGAAAAAGTTCAACGCTACTTCACAAAACAATTACTTGGCTTTTCCGATGGCCCTAATTATAAAGAACGATGTATAGCACTGAAACTTGAACTGCTATGGCTACGGCGAATAGAAATTAACCTAACCTTTTTCCATTCAAACATAATGCATAAGAGAAGTATGGCCTTTCCAGAATTAAAAGATCAGTATAACTATAGATATTCTTTACGAGGCGGGTGTAATAACGTCTCTGTACCGTTTTCTCGCAACCGCTTGCGATCCAACTTTTTTATAATCGCTTCTGTGGAATAAGCTTCCTCCACACATTCGTGCAGGTAGTCACGTATCAGCATTTAAGAGGAAATTGAACAAATTCCTTGATGTACCAATGTTGAT